ACCATTTTTATGGATCATTTTAATATCTTTTACAGGTGTTTTTACTCCATTTTCAAAGGTTTTCAAAGGATTTCTATGTTTCTGGATTTTAAAATATTTTTCAGGTAATTTGGGATAAAGAGGCACAAAATAGAACAAAAAGACTCTTTTGGATAAATGCAGACCATCAGAACTCTTATGGAGAGACGAAGACCTTCTCACCATCTGATCACCCTCAAAATTGGACAACTTATAGAAGAATCAACCAGCTTTCAAATTCACTTGGTTTGGAGACATTCCAATGGTTGGATCTCAAGATATTCCATTAGCCCCGGAGCCACTCGAAGTCGGTCAGCAACTCACGCGACCGCGGCCAACAAGCTATTTGCCGCGGTCAGAAGCTTCCCGACCGCGGCCAACAAGCCAATTGCCGCGGTCACAACACTCCTGACCGCGGCAATCAATCTCCGAGTTAAAGCCCACTTATCTGAAGCCCAAAGTCATTCTCAGCCTCAATTCCGGAACCCTAGAGACCATGGAGTATTGGAGACTATAAATACATGTCATTTAGGTCGTTTTTAGACACAACCCTATATCCTTTACGGAAACCCTTTTCCTTTGGCCGTTTTTATGAGATTTTTGTAGAAGATTGTTCAATTCCGAGTTCTTCAATAGAGAATCTTTCTTTATCTCTTTTCTTTACTGTTTTTCATTACTTTTATTAAAACCAATGATGATGTCGAACTCAGCCATGTCTGAGTAGATCCCGAGTTGGGCTTAGGGTTCGCGAAAGGGGCTCTCATAATCGATTAAGACATCTAGATTTATAGATCTGGGATTTCGACCTGTTCTCTGTTTATTCTTGTTCTTATTGCATGTATGTTTGATTGATCACCTAGTATCTGATCTAGATAGTTAGTGTTGCGAAAGTTTTCATTAAGTGTCAGCCCTAGAATGAAACATGCGATTTTTCCGTAGGAGTGGAAACCTACCTGCGGCGAGATCGTGAGTATTGACGAGTCTTGTGCAGCTCTTGCGTTCTCTCCCTTCCAGGGCCAGAGTGGAAACCTACTGGTCAGGGTTGCGAGAAACAGTTGGTTATGATCACGACAATGACGTAGTCATACCGCCGTACTCTAGCTCTAGAACCCATATATCGTTATCTGTCAATCTCAATCTATCTACTTTAGTGTTAAAACTGATTATGATCCCTTAGAGTTCCCAAAAGCTCAGCGTTTTTAGCCATAGTTTACAATTCCATCGATTTTTACTTGCTTTCTTAGACCTGCATTTCAATTTCCTTAGTTCATTATTTACTTGCTTTAATTACCTTTCATGCGATATTTTACTTGCCTTATTAGTCTTTCATTCGATATTTGCTTATTCTAATTGCATTTCATTCGATTTGCTTACCTGCTTTTTAGGATAGATTTATTTGCTTTCTATTGTTTTAGTTTAATTCGCAAGAAAAACAATCAACCTTTAAAACCAATTTAGTCTAGACATAAAGTTAAAAAAACCGTAGAAGAATACCAGGCACACAAATTCCTGTGGATTCGATCCCTAAATACTGCAACTGATCAGCTGTGCACTTGCGGCTTTCATTTGTTTTGTTAAGGGTAAAACTTGTTCCCTCACGCAGTTGACACGACCATCAACCACGTTTGCAGGGTGAGCTCACGTCCAGAGGTAAGCTTCAGAATGACTTTCCCATAACCTTGAATCTTTGATGTCACAGAGTTTCCCATAAAGAGTTTCTCGTCACTCTTGTTCTTGGTGTAGGCAGAGAACATTGACCTGTCCAAGCAAATGTGCCTGGCTGCACCAGTATCGAACCACCAAGTCTTGAGATGGCTCTCAGAAACATTTGCCTCAGTGATCATCGTGCACATGTCTGGATAGGCAAGATTAGCTTCATTTTTCTTTGGAGCCTTTTTGTTGCGGTACTCAAAGGATTTGTGGCCTGTCTTGCCACAATTGTGACATGTTCCAGCGAACGTTTGTGAGCTTTCGCCACCACCAAATTTCTTTTTCTTGAACTTCTGTGAGTTATGTGGTGATACTTTGGCATTTTCTTTGTCTTGGCGTCCTTTGTTCTGGCGCCCTTTGTTTTGGTGTTCCACCATATTTGCATTGGGTTCGCGAATTTTCATAATACTCCGAGATTCTTTCGGGTTGTTGACTCCATACGGAGATTCATGGTCAGTTCTTCGAGACTCATCTACTTCTTCTTCAGCTTCAGATTGTTTTTGAAGACCGTCCAGTTAGGTGAGAGCTTCTCAATGATGCATGCGACCTGATAGGTCTCACACATCCTCATCCCCTCAGCATGGATTTCATGGAGAAGAGTTTGTAGCTCTCCCACTTGATCCATTATTGGCCTCGAATCCACCATTTTGTAATCTTGAAATTTCGCCACGGCGTATTTCTGAGATTCAGCATCTTCCGTGTGATATTTCTTGTCTAGAGAATCCCATAGTTCTTTAGACGTCTTGACATTGCTATACACATTGTATAGTGCATCAGCAAAACGACTCTGAATGTATCTTTTGCACTGGAAGTCTCCGTGTTCCCATGCTAACTTGCTCGCAAGTGCATAAGCATCATCATTATCTGATGAGAGAATGAGTTTCTCTTCACGGGTGTACTTCTCCAGCTTAAGTGTGGCCAGATAGAATAACATCGTCTTCTGCCACATCTTAAAATTGCTCCCATCGAACTTGTCGGGAAGGACTCCTACTGGATTCACAGATGGCATCTGAACCGATTGATACTGTCCAATGACCGCAGTTTAGACAGTAGCAGAGATTGAAGGCGGGATAACCACAGTCACTGGTGGGAAAGTCTCAAAATGGATCTGTTCAGTCCAAAACTGGATCTGTTCAGTCCCAATAGTGGTAGTCTGATCAGCTGAGGAGACATTGACAATATCGTTTTCCATATCTGAAAAAAAAACACAATCCGCATATTAGAAATGATTTTAGTATACAAAATTTAAATATAATATGTATACTAATCACAATTTTCAGAATAGAAACAAATTTAAAAGTATACAATTTTAAATGTTATATATATATATATATAATATTTATAAAATCCAACTCAAATCGCTATCAAATAAGATTGATAAGCACCACAACCATGCATTGTTCTTTTTTTTTTTTAATAAATTTCAAACCTCCAATGAGAGTTTGATCGCAGGTGGGTCACAATTAGAGATGGAGAATAATAAAAAAGTTTAAAGTAAATGCTCGTATCCAATCCGTTCAAGGTTTATATAACAAGAACGGATTCAAAGAGTTAAGAGTGTAGGGCCAAAATAAATTGAACACTACAAAATAGCGATTAAAATACGAGATTAAATAAAAACGTTAAGCTAAAGAGAAATGAGTGGAGGCGAGAGTATGATCTCTTTCCTTAACTCTTTAAATCGCCCATAGTGCGACGGAGTTCTGTGATACAAGAGTCGCAGGATACAACCATACTTATCCGTTTTCAGAAGCACTAAGAAACACGAATATACACGAACTAATTCTACTATACTCTCGGCAGAGAACTTACGAAAAAGAAAAGAGAGACTGTTGCAAAAATCTTAGAGTAGAAGATGAGAGGTGAGATGTGTGAAAAATGAGAGGAGAGGTCGTGTATATATAGCGGAGGAAGAGACTTGAGTAGTCTTCTAAATCCCACAGAATCCGCGAGTCAAACACGAATCTCGGCCATAAATTTAGCAAAATCAAAGGGGAAAAATCAGCAAATGTGATTAATCACAATCTGTTACGTTTTTGTGGGAATAATGAATATCCAATATTCTTTTCACTGAATCAAAAACATATGCAGAAAGTCAACATAAAAACGTTGACCAAACGTTCATAAAAATATGACCCAAAAAGAATACCCATCTTAGGCCCGAAGGCCCATTCGACCAACACGACCGGCGTCCGCGCCCAGACTGATCCGACTTAGCTTAGCTTAGCTTGGCTTGGCTTGGCAGCGGCGGCGCGCGCGAGGCTTATTCCTTTCTCTCTCACATGTTATTTGAACATGTATGAAACATCTCTTAGGGCATCTCCAAAGGCAACCTCAAATTTGAGGTTTGCCAAACCTCAAATTTGAGGTTTGATGATGTTTGTCTCCAAAGGCAAAACCTCAAATCTAATCTCACCAAATTTAAAATATTACACTATAATCCTTATTTTTAATGATTATTAACAAAAATCATTTAACTTTATAAATAACAAAAAACATACGTTAAAAAATTTCATTAACTAAAATTATGAAATTTCATTAAACGATGACTTACGTGGTCGTTTTCTTGAGTGAGATGATGAATAAGGCGGTTGTTGTTGGAAATCATTTGTAATGCTATTTGTTGTTGTCTCTCCATTGCAGCATTTTGCTCTTCCAACCATTCATCAAACTCAGATGAGTTTGAAGAAGAAGATGAATTATTGAAAGAAGATGGATCTCCAAAATTATAATTCATTTCTACTAATTTTTTTAAAGTGAATTAAGTTGTGATATTGTGATGTATTTCTAACATCTATGTGTGTGCTTTTATAGATAATTTTTAATTATTTAATAAGATAAGAAAACTTTGACAAATTAATCTAGACCACTCATTAGATTTTATTTATCAGCAACCGTGAGATTAAAATCACATCCTCTATATCCAACATATCCAACTTGTCCACCATATTAGATAAGAAAATATAGAGCATTAATCTACACCATTCATTGAATCTCATTCATTGTCACCCATTAGATTAAAATCATGTCCAACTTATCCACAAAATAAGATACGATAAGAAAAATCTTGAGAAACTAATCTACACCTTTCATTAGATCTCACTCATTATCAACCCTTGGATTAAAATCATATTCATCCTTGTAAAATATCTACAAAATTTATTTGTGGCCATTCATTTGAAGTCTTATCCATCCATCATTGTGTATAAATAATATACTTGAACCAATGAAAAATTCACAACTCCACTATATCTTTCTTCTCCTAAAAAAATATGGATAAAAGTAGAGGCTCATCATTCAATCCACATGAGGGTGAGTTATTATGTCGTGTCTATCTAGAAATATCACAAGATCTAATTTCTAGCAATAATCAGTCTTTGGGGAAATTATGGGTAAAAATACAAAATATGTACAATTGAAAAAAAAATATGGGTTGGGAAATTAGAAGTGATAGATCTCTTCAAGGTAGGATGAATACTATTATTTATGCTGTTAGAAATTTAAAGAGCTGCATCAACCAAGTGGACAATATGCATCCAAATGGTGCATCTGAATATGACATTGTAAGTATATTTTTTTCTGCTACATTTCATATATGATATTTATTTATATATTTTAACAAAATTATGTTTTTACCACTCTACAGATGGAAAAAGCCAAAAAATTACTGGTTCAAGATCCAAAACTGAGAAAAGGTTTTAAATTTGACCATGTGTGGACTTTGATGAAGGATATCCCAAAGTTTACCGATAATGTCAACGTCGGTATTCCAAATACTGCAAATAATGAAAGTGATTTTGCTGGCTCTCCAGCATCAGAATTTCCAGGTGTGTCTTCTTTTTTGATCAATTTAAGTAGTGATGACGGTGGGTCAAATTCATCACAACGTCCGATAGGATCAAAGAAGGCAAAACTCAAAAGAAAGATTGCTGAAGAAAAGAACTCATCTGTTGATACTTTGATTTCATTAAACGATCAACTCTTAAATTTCTTAAAAGAAAATGCATCAAGTATGGGCAAAAGTGTTGAGATTGCTCAATTACGTATGTAAAATCAAGCAAAAAAATTAGCTCTAAAAGAAATGCAAGAGGAAAATAGAATATTGTTAACAAATTAAACACTCTATTGTTGATAATAATACCCGTGAGTTTATTCGGTTTGAACAAGTAAGAATCATACAAAAAAGAACTCAAGAACAACCATCACCTCCGGTTGCACCAAATTTTGGACAATATTTTGGAGATCTTGGAGGTTCTGGATCAAACTTAGGGGAGTATTAGTTTTGTTGTATTATTTTCATTTGTGTAATATTGAAGTTTTTATGCTACTTTATTTCTATTTTTGTTATTTTATTTTGTATTAAATTTGTTAAATGTAATATTATTGTTGTGTAATATTGGTTTTCATGTTATGTAATATTTATTTTATATTGGTATTTTTAATATTACCTTTTTAATATATTTTATATGCAGATATGAAATTTATAAAGATAAATGTGAAATATTTATTAGATATAAATTTGTTAGATTAAAATGATAAACAGAAAAAGTAAAGTGATTATTTATGAAAATATATATTTGTAAGGACTAAAATGCAAATAAAAAACTGCAAATTTGAAGATTTAAGGTTGTCTTTGGAGATGCCCTTAATATATAGCAGAGCTTTTCCCACCAAACCATCGATGTGGGACAAATGCACAACATTTCCTTTTCACTTTCTGAATTTTAACTCACCTCTATTGGGCTTTTAAAATTCGGCCCAACATTTCTTTCTATCGATTTAGAAAAAAAGAAAATCTTTAGGAAATGTTAAGTCCTAAACCTAACTTAAAAACCTTATAAAAGGAGGATGAACCATCATTTGGCACACACAGTAAAATCGAGAGAGACTTCGAGATTAAGAGCTAAGATCTTCAAGCTTTTTGATCCCAAATTATTTCTAACTCCTAGTTGGTTTGTCAACCTCCGATGAACTAACAAAGTTGTATTTTGCCAAACTCATTAATATCAATAAATATTGTGATACTGTTTTACCCCTTTATATGATATTACATATCAACAATGATGTAAATCAATGAAAGAAAAATTGACGCAATCCCTTGGCAAATTTTAGTATTCTTTAATTAATTGGGTTCAAAGAAATGTAGAGGATTTTGACCAATAAAATGAAAGTCAGTAAAATAAAATATGGAAATGGTACCAGCAACAGGAAATTAGAAAATGATAAAAAAAATTCTGTTAATTTCAGTGAAGGGATCAAATAATTTTTCTTTCCTGGCATTGGTGAAGAGATCTTCTATTTCTGGGATATAATCCTTTCCCAATTTGGTCCTAGGGGTAGATGGTTCAAAGGATGAGTAAGATTCACAATAAGAATCTGTAATGTCATGGCGTAAGAATGGGATGTGTGTTCTCATGTTGTGTGTTCTCATGTTGAATCAACATATGGCATTCTCATTTTGTGTGTTCTTCTGGTATGTTGATGTAGAATGGGTTGTGTATTCTCATGTTGTGTGTTCCAATGTTGAATCAACATGTGGCATTCTCATGTTGTGTGTTCTTCTGGTATGTTGATGTAGAATGGGTTGTGTATTCATCATATCCTATAATAGTTTTGAAAGGTGCAAGGGTGATATGTTCTTTTGAGCTAGAAATAGTATGTTGAGTGTTCTTCTGGTATGTTGATTTAGATTGGGTTGTGTGTTCATCATATCCTATGATAGTCTTGAAAGGTGCAGGGGTGATATGTTCTTTCGAGCTAGAAATAGTATTTGAGAGTCCAACATCCAGAGTGATAATAGTTTGCTTTGGAGAATGAGTTTTGATGGACAGGAATTGAGTAATAGTGGAAAAGGCTCTACACCGGCTGCAAATCCTGGAAGCACGGAGGAACAGACACTTACCATGGCTGGAGGGAGTGCGACCACAGTGAGAAGGGGTTCTTCCACGGTGGAAGGCTTGCAACTGTGGTGGAGGAGTTCTGAGAGATTTCACTTGAAATGTCTTCTTTCTCGCCTTGGTTGAATTCCAAGCAGTCATGTTGATCATCCTCTTCATCCTTTTCAAATATTTCAATGGAAGAGTCAGGTGGTTTATCTTCTTCTTTAGAAATAAGAGCACAAGAAACTTTTGTGTATTCCTCATGCTTTATAAAGGTTTTTTTTAATGCAGGTGTTAGTGAGATTCTGAGAGTTAGAGAGATAACTCATGTTTGCATCTATTTCTATGGCCTTCTACTTGAGTATGTTGAGGTGAGATTCAGTCTCTTGTAGTTCGTCGTCGGTTTTTTCTCCTTACCAAAAGGCAAAGTCACTACTCTTCTTGATTTCTTACTTTGTGTCACGAATATCACTTGAATTATGAATGATATCATACTTCTGTTTTGTATGCTCTTCTTCAAAAGCTTTCATCCTTTCGTTAAGTGTTGCAGTATCTTTAAGACTTTTATCGTCAAGGGGTTTTCACGTGCTTATATGGATTAACAAAATTCTTATTGAATTCGGCGGAGATGGAGTCATTCTTTTGCAAGGCAGGTTCTGAGACAGCTTGACAGTCAATGTATTGGTTAAGGATGGCTTCTAGTCGCCCCAATTGAAGACTGACTTAGTAGTTGTCATCATTTTTATTCAGGATATAATGAGGAAGAGAGTAAGATTGTCGATGATTCACCATAAGAGGTGCATAAGCTACATCTTGGTAGTACGGAGGCTCGAGGCGTCTTTGAGTAGTGCAATGGCTCAGAAAAGAGTTCTGGTCCAAGTAATATGAATCACATCCACGCCATTGCTGTGATTCTTTGTAGTAGTGAACGGCACACGGGTTGTAGAACCCTCGCTCATAGTAGTGACCTCGCCTTGAAGGTGGATCCATGTTACAAAGAAAAACAAAATCAAAAGTTAGAAGAAAAAGCTGTCCTAGAATCGGTATTACTACCTCAAAAGTTTGGTAGAAGCAAGAACAAGTCTCTTCCCGGCAAAGGCGCTAAAATCTTGGTTTTGCTAGGGTTTGAATGTTGCGGCTTGAAGTTATAAATTTGTAAAACCCTTGTATCTGCAAGTGTACAACAGTACAAAGTAGTACTTAAGGTGTCGATCCACAGGGAGATGCGTCTTTTTTGAAAAAAACTTCAGACTGAGAATTTATAAATGGGTTCTAAGACTAACTGGATTTTTATAGGGGTTTTATGTCATGGTAAAAATATAATTCAATTAGGAAAAATAAAAAAATAAAAGTAAAATCAATGTCAGCTAATGATAAAACAAATGTTTAGCCAGCAGAGATATTTCAAGTGATGTTTGATTCATGCATGCTCCTAAGCTCTTAAAATCAGTTTCCATCTATCTAATGAAATTTGAAATCATGGATGTATGACTAGTACTATCGCAGTAATAACAACCTAATCTCTCACAATTTGACTAGTAGCTTTCGTCTCTGGCCGTAAGGAAAATCATACAATATAACACAAATTTCGTCTTTACTCATGATATTTTATACGTAGCTTTTGTCTCCTATAGCAATTTCTGTACCTATGTCATGATAAATTCAGTTATGTTATGTGAGGTGGCATATGAGGATTAATCATTATGGATTAAGCGAGGACTTCTTAATAAGTTAAATAATTAATAACTCCATATATCTTTTATAAAAAAAAATGCCATACAACTCAACATAATATTCGTTCTTTTGGATATATTAAAGAAAAAGACTTCGTACAATGCAATAATCTTCAACATACACTAGGGAGTCAGAGTTCATATACATCTATAAAATAGGGAACATGGGATGATGACCTTCCCAATTCAAATAATGTATAATATTAATGGCTATTCCATCTTAAAAAAAGGCACATATATAAATGACTTCATGTAATGTAGTTGTAAAAAAAATTGTTTTGTTAGAAGTCAAAGAAAAAATATTTGTAATACAAAATTCAAATAAAAACCCTATATAGATGAGATAACATTTAGTTCATATACGACGTAAATTAAAGAAATATAAATTGACAAAATCCCTTATATATTCAATTTTTGAATATTATTTTTTAGTTAGTTGAATACAAAGAGATCTATAAGATTATGATCTAGAAAATGAAATTTACAGGATTTTAGTAAAGTTTATATTAATTTACATGAAAATAGTGAAATTTGCTATTATTTTTTGGTTTTTTTGGTTTTACGAGTTGATATGATAAAATACAAAAATGGTGTCAGCAAAACATAGTCGAATTTTATTTAGAAATACGATAATTTCATGTTAATCATATATATTAAAATCGGGTTCAGAATAAGCAATGGAGGCCTCTCATTGAGTTTCAGCGTGGTTAATTACAGCTTGCCTCTTAATGAGAATAATTAAATTTGAATATATTAACCAAATTTTTTTAAACAAACTCGAGCAAATCAATATCGTAAGCCCATACA